AAAAAGATCGTATTTCCATTCACGCGAGCGAAGGGGAAAATATGGTGTTCTGTGTAAATTGAAACTAGATCAGTTGTAATAATAATATTCCTCTAAAACGGGTGTCAGTAGCTGTTTAATCTTTGTCGGAAGAAGGGAGGGCTGTCACATAGCGTGTGTCACATTACTGTGATAGGGTATCAAAATTTTCCGGAGATTTCCATTTTCCAATTTTTTTTCCATTGAAATAACTTACTCTTAGTCGAGAGCGTTGATGACTAGTGGTGGTATGATGCCTAGTATACTCAAAAGGTTGTGAGTTCGATTCTTACCGATATTAAAATTTGTGTTAATTTATATTTCTCCAGTGATGATCAAACTAAATTAATACAAGGGACGATAGGTTTGCTCATTTATATATTTTCAGCAAAATATGAGCTTGCGAAAACAAATGCATGTGGCATTGCAAAGAGTCGTTTCAGCTGCCGTTTCAACAGCTGCAGAAATTAGTCCTTCATTAAGAATGTCCAAGGCTTGTTGCCTTCAACATTCTAAGTGAAAACGAGAGAAGGACTACTTTCGTCCATTTTTATACATACATATAATAAAATTGGAATGTCTGTTTGTAATATTGAAATAATCGTTTTTTAGTACATGCATATGAATATAAATACGGTACATACACCAAAATATTTTTTTTTACAATTTTTATCTGTCTGTCTGTTTGTTCCGGTTAATCTCTGAAATGGCTGGACCCATTTTGACGGAACTTTTTTTGCAGGTAGGAGATGTAATAAGGATTAACTTAGGCTACTTTTATTTTAGAAAAATATAGTTAAATACCACGCGGTCGAAGTCGCGGGGACAGCTAGTTATGAAATAGAATTCTGATATATTATTTCGTAACCACATAGAGACAACAACTGAATAGAATTAACAGCAGTGTTTTTATCGAAATAGCAATGATACAATGACCGAATCGACTATAAAAATATTTATGTAAATTTCAATTGATACCAGAAAAAACAAACCTGTTCAAATTTCTATTTAGAGTCTACTCCGAACCGAATAAAAACACTAATAGAATTATAATAATATGATTAAGGAACATTTGTGTTCTCCCACAGATATACAATAACTGATTAATCAGTGGAAGCGTACACAATGACACTTTATGAATATTGATTATAATTAAACTATACTCATAAATAAATAACAAAAACCAGTAAATAAATAATATATTCCATCAAGTGTCTACAATTAGCTACGGCATGGGTAATAAACTAATAATTGAGTAAGTATATGGTCCGTCTTATGGTTGAAAAAATTGACCACATTTTTGACATGTACATTTTTTAACTAGAAATTTCACTCTCTTATCTTCTTTAAACCAGTATGATAGTGAGGTGTTTTGCGGCAGAATTGATATGTGAGACATTCGTTATCTATTTTAAGGACAATCTACAAATTCTCACTACGGATGTGATTTACAAATAAACAAAATATGCACACACATATCACGTATCACTTTATCTTAGTTATCAGTGAACTGCATCCACTGCAATCAATATTTGTCACTTCAAAAAAATTCCCACGCTTGTATCAGTACTTTCTCGCTATCGGTCAATAGTACTGGATAATATGACTTTATCAACAGTGATATAGTAATTTCTCGCGAAAAAAAATATTACAAGAATTACTATAATATTTATAAACAAACACACAATGAATATACACAAATTTATATGTAACTATATGATTTACATGCTGTTATAATTTTTATATTAAGTTTCCTGCCAGTTCTTCTGAAGTGAATTAGCTAGCCGTACTAAACGGCAAGGATAATGCTAAAAATGTGAATTGCATAAGTGACTTTAAATGATGTGAACTACTTACCTACTTTAATATTAAAATACCTGAAAAAAGAGGTCACTTTGTATACTAACATTACAAAGAACGGATTTGTCCGTATGAACGAAACGAATGAAATCAAGGAAAACAAACTCTGGAACCACTGCACCTTTTGTGAAATTCACTGTTTGAAAGGTACATACATTATTTCAGAATGACATAGGCTATATAGTATGTTACTATATACAAAACTCATCAAAGTTATGACCATCAAGGCGCAGCTGAGGCGGGTCACTAGTTAACAAATAACACTAAACTAATAAAAAACATTTACGTATTAGGAGTCAATGTTCTAAGGACCTTGGAGACGACGTAATGCTATAATAAATGTTGTTTTTAGCAGTGGTTTGCTAATACATAGTTTGATAGTCGCTCACGTCTACAACTATAGTAAAAATAATATTACTCTATACTTACGTATTTAAATTCGATATTAACTTTTTTTTATAATCCAAAGCTTTCGCTATGGCTAGTAGAGAACAGATAGAAATACATTTTTTTATTGTAAAGACATACTTAATTTATATAGAAAATACCCAGATCACTACAAACAGTCATACTTATGACTACAAATGTTTGGAACGTGCGAAGAATCGAACCTGCGATATCGGAAATAAATACCACTGAGGACGTCATTTTCTTTTTATTTGACGTCTTTGCAAAGTTTTTTTTAAGTAACAGGAATAGACAACAAGCTGACTTTACACTTCAAAAAAATTTTACTATCACCTACATATATGTAGGTACACAAACATCACGTTGTCATGACATCTGTGGTACCACTCATACGTTGCCATCTATGCAATCCTAAGGACTAAGGTAACATGCTTCCATACCCTGTGATTTTACTTCCACATCCTCACCCTACAAATCAATAGACCATATTATATACTTCTATAACCTCATAGACCTTTGTAACCTGTACTTCACAAATAAAGAATTCGAACTTAGCCTAACCCAATAGGCAGCATAACTAAGCGAGAAAGAGGTACCCATACTAACCAATTTGTACCTCGGCAATCGTTCTTAAAATAGAAAATTCCCATGAAATTGAACTTTAATTGTAAAATGGTATAACCACCAAGCAAGTGAGATATTTTAATTTAGGTACATCACGTTTAGTTCCGAATCATTGGAACCAGATCACAATATGAACGGGCTCGTTGGCGCGGAAAATTCTACGAAACGGTGCAAATAGAATACGTGATGCTATGGCTTCTTGTTTTATTGGGTCTCATTTGTCTAATAGTGTGCTAACATTTATAGTTGTTAACAGTAACTACAATAATGTTTGTGTTACACAACTGTCTACAATAATAGACCAATACTATTAAGTAAATACAATATATGCATCAGAACTAGCGCCCTCACTGAGCACTGCAAATTAAATATACACATGGCAAAGCTAGGCCTGTTCTTAACAAAGATTTGCAGATTTCGCCAAATAGAAGAGGAAATGCCACTACACATCCAATGTTGTCCACTCGAGCATAAATTAAATATCACTAATAGGCCAAACAAATTTTTTTATTCATGTTTATTTAGACGCATTTGTTCATGTCAAGTCAAGTCACGTTAAATATAAACAAATCCTAATTTTTACAATTACTTCTTAGCTCCATAGAAATAAATAAACTAAGGGAATTAATAGAATAGAAATCCTGGTATATCTATTACAGATTTTGCAATTGTTTTGTATTGATTAAATAGAATACTTATTACAAGTCGTGTCTGGGTAGAGCCGCTACAGGCAACAACAATAGTAAATTCCATATAAATCTGTTCCCTTCATCTAAATAGCAATCGTCAAGGTAAAACCTAACTCCCGGAATTGACCCCCAATACCATCCATCATGCGCCAAACAATGGGTGGAGCGGTTGAAATTTGCAACCGCTCTGATTTATTACTTCTCCTATACTAGATAGCGCCCCCTGTCGATACAAATATTGGATAAAAACTCCTCATACAACAATTAAGTCGTATAGAAAAGCTCTATTGGTGATTTATTTGGCGACACCCGCATTGGTGTAACACGGTGCCCATCGTACAGCTTGCTTGATTGGACAAAATCATAGAATTCTAATAAATGGGAATCGAACTGGTCACCTTACCGTGTCCATGTCCTTTTTTCTTTAATGTAGAAGTAATATAAAATTACTATGTTAGAACACCAGTCTAATCATAATCTGCACATGTATCTTAGCGAAACCCACAAGATCATATTGTATGAATAGACAGATTGAGTTTGAATTCTTAATTAAAACTTTATTACAAAATAAAAAAAAATAAGAACAACTTACTGCCTTTTTTAAAGTTCTATTCATTTTATATAGCAAAAAAATGTTTTTTTTTGTAACATAGGATACATTCCTATATAAACAGGATATTCGACACAAACCTCTACAAAAAGCTTGAAATAAACTATAGATACTGGAATTGTTTTTGCATATCTAAAAAGAAATAAGTAGCGAAGGTTAATAAAACCCTCATAGCAACGAAAAGAGGGTTGTTCAAAATTGGATCAAGTAAATGTTTTAATAAGAGATCGGGAAGAATTGACGACTCACAATCTCGATATGTTATTGACCGAAGTAGATTTTCTAAAAAGTTATTTCCAAAGCTGTTGCCTCATGCTGTTAGCCTCAACTGGCCTTTACAGCTTCACGAAACGATAGAGGGCGAGTGTAGATAGGTTCCAAAGCCGCGGAAGAAATTATGGAGCGGCTGAAAACCAACCCCTGCCAAATAGAAGAACCGTTATGTTATAGTATCCCTGACGACGATTTGTGTTATGGCGACTATATTAAAAATAAAAAAAACATGTATTTTATATTGGTCACGTACACATATTTCATATAACATTATAATGTTTTTTACAAGTCAGGATGACTCAAAAAATTCTTCAAAGTATAATTTATTTATCGCAACGATTAAAGCTCATGCTTATTCTAAAATAAACACATTACCAGATATTAAACATTGCAGGTGGTAACAGCAAACATACCGTTATCAGTAAAGAATTCCATAGTAACGTCCAAATTCATATCAAACCGGCAACGCCACAAATCATTGCAAAAAAAATAAATATTCGATATGAGTATGTACTTACAGAGATAGTATACCTATAGACAGCAGTTTATCGGCTACTGAACTCAGACCTGCAACAAGTAAAATTCTTATTAATTTTTAATCGAAACAATAATAATACATAATTAACAATTCAACATGTATTGAGAGATAACAGTTACTAAGCAAAACATAGGCAGCTTAATTAACAAATTTTATAGTATTAAAAATACTTGTATTATTATTTTTTTAATTCGATCAATAACATCAACATAAACATAACGTTTTTTTTTATAACATTTCTGTCATATCAGTTTGAGATGATGTCGTTGCCAACTTTTTTCTGTAAAGTAAAAAAAAGTTCTAATGTGAACGTCCCACATTCTAAATTTAAATTTTCACGTTCGGTAACCGACCGATAGGTTATCTTACAAAGGTTCACACAGCGCAAGAGTGACGGATGGCTGAAACGTTTCCGTGTAAACACCAATTTAACATGACACTTCGTGCAGTATGTCAATATATGATATAGCAGTTCATTTTAAAATAGTAAATAAGTAATTACAAAATCATAGCTCAAGTGTTACATAAACATACTTATATATATAAGTAGGCTTCAGTAACTCGAGTTTCGCACGATAGCTTCGTAAGTGTGACGAGATTCAAGAAATTAATTAGATAGGTTAATAGACTCACAAGATTCCTTAAAATATAAATAATCGGATTCCACATCGTAGTCTATTGTAGACATAACTTACGAAATATAGGCATAATATTTGTAATTCGTGATTTAAGGAGAGCGATATCGTGATACTGCTCTTTCAATAATAATAATTGAACAAAAAAACGTTTAATACATATACTCTATATTTACAACATGAGTGTATATTTTTTCTACATAAAACTATATAAACGGCATATTTAGGTACTATAATAATATTATTTAAGAGCGCTTATATAATTTAAAAAACCTATGTCAGATTGTTTCCCATTCCGTTTGATTTAACACCAAAAACTAAACCAATTTTGTTGACATTTCTTTGGTACCAACTTGAATGTGTATTCTATCGAATAAAAAGAATTATCCAAATCGGTTTATAAATGACTTAGTTAACAAATAAGAGATACCCAACAAACACGACAAACAAGCGTATTGAGTATTTCCTAATTTGATGTCGGTTAAGAACAACTCGCGGCACAGTGACGGCACAAAAGTAAACCCAAGCATGTAATGAGCAACAAAAACTTATCTAAGATATCAGACATTAGGTGCAACGACCGCCGAATTCGATCGCGCCGTACACACAACAAACAAAACAAAATAATTTGTTAAGGATTTATTTAACGGATGTAACGATAACGGCTTAATAAAACAGATCTCCAGATGATAATGTACTCGGATGTAATTAAGTTCTTACTTAAGTTCGCCAGTTGAACTTGGGAATACACGTAGTCGTATGAGAATGTATGTATTCGCATAGCGGTTTTAAAAATTAAAACAAACACATCTGTGAAGATTTTTAATAACTGATATGTATTCATTCAAAAAAATATCCTTATGATTATAATCCCAGACAGAGTAGTCAAAAGTACTGTTAATTGCGCATGTTGTAAACGCAACACTTAACATATCCACATTTCGTTCATAACATTTAAATTGTAAGTGGCAGAGGTCCAAAGCATAGTATATCCTAAAGAAGCTTAACATCCAAACAAATTATATGAAATCGAACGTGTGTCTGTTTGTTATCTTTTCACTAAACCGCTCAACATATCCTAATTAGATTTGACGTTAAGTTAGACGAGAGACAGACTTAGGCTATCGTTTTTCTCAGCAGTAAAAAATCACACGCAATCGGGGCATAAATTATATTGTCAAATGAATAATGGACTACTGTAACATAAAATATCAACAATTACCGCAACATACTTAAAACGAATAAATTGAAAACAAACATTTCCACTTCAAACTTAAATAAACGGACACGAGTGGGCATCGAACCGCCGAACCCCCGCAGCAAAAAGCATCGCGTTTACAAAGCCCATTCGAACATCACTCGTGATATAATTTCGATAATAACAGGTGGGTGTAATGGTGTTATTATGAGGTACAATTTAATGCAACCCGCAACCCGCAACCCGCAGCCCGTTGCTGCAATGCGGCGTTTGCAGACGCGGCCGGTTGCCAATGCGCCAGGACGCTCCGTGAATGTAATCGACTCTACACTTACCACCACTTCGTGTGTCTTAGAAATTTATTACCCCTTTCAAGTCCACAAATTTGTACGAATGTAACTGAAAATTTACGACTTGCGACAACATTTTGGATATGATAGGAATTTATCGGTGGCTATCACTACGATTCAATCTGTATGTTTGCTTTGATTGAGTAACACACATACAACTAAAAAGATTTTATTTACGTTTAGCATACAAACGAATTATGACCTGAAGTAATAATAGATAGGAAACAATATAACATTACATAAATCTGACATAATATTGTAATTATATATTTTATTAGAATTCTACAAACTAATTTATTATAAATACTCTTCAGAACATTAGTAACACTAAATATATTATTATAACATACTATTTAGATGATTTTTAATGACTTCATTCGCGTAAAGTTATCACAATTATAACTTGCCTCATTACATCTATAAGAAAATTTTCGTGTTATAATAAATATAACCGAAATCCAAGAAAAAACTTAAAAAAATACTGAAAAGATTTTCAGAATTCTTCAAACTAATTTATTATAACTACCCTTCATTTTAAAATTTTGCTACAATAATTGCACTTGTGTGTCGCCATAATATATATAACATGATACGCAATCCCGTGATAGAAACCATAACCTTTGTCCTCTACACTTAATCGTAAAAAAACTAGAGCAATAAAATAATAGCAGGAGTAAATAACAGGCATCAAATATATTCAGTGCGTAGTTGAAAATCTAATTTCTTCGCAGAGGACGATACCAAGGTGAGAGCAGTGAACTTGTATTCTCTGAAAAACTAGACAAAAACAGTTTTGGCAAGCTCGCGTGTCTAGAATTAGCATGAGAAAATACAACTAACAAAGACACTTAAAAAAGGAGTGGTGAAAATTAACCAAATCTAATTTTGGTGTCACGTTTTGTCGGTTCGATGCGTGGCTATTGCAATTATTGTAGATAAGTCGGCGATGTCGTTTTCATAAACCTTATTTTTTAATTACAATCTTCAATGTAACTTGTTTTTTTTTCAACAGGATAATTGGTATAATTATACGAATTCGTATCCTTTTTTCTATTTCTTTGAGTACTTGGTCACCTGAAGTACTATGAAATACAGTAGTGGCGTTTATACCATTATACTTAATTGTATATGCACTAAAGCACAAAATTTATCAATAACTTAATTCATAATAATTCTCGTAGTTTTGGGTCAATATACATTAGTTAATAATGTAATAGACTAGAATAGACGTGTCTTTTTCATTGTGAGCTGGCTTGGTGCTTTCGTAAGAGGGCCAAAAACGTTAAACTGCACTCGGCATCCTGACTACAGAACGACTGCATCTATCAGACTAACGCTATGTCTCCGTAGACAAAAGGAAATATTATGTGCCTTATTTATACCCTTATGTAACACTTCTTATAATTAATCATACAACGATGAAAGTACTAGCGAATTTACTTGCGCAAATATATGCATAAATATGTACAGACAATAGACGAAGTTTGTCCCCGCACGATGAATACGCCCATCTTTCAAAAAAAATTGCAGGAAAAATAAAGCCTAACAAACATATGAGTACTTGGATACTGTTGGCGACACTGTAACAAATTATATACTGTGACGTCTGATTTTAACCAACAGTTACTTTAAATTTGGGGCGAAACCTATTTGGCATTCCAATTTAAGAAAAATAGGTGTTTATGGTTTTCGTCCGATTAAAAAAATAACTTACCAGGATCTTAATAAACTAAATACCCTTATGGTGATAAAATTCAAATTCACTGTCCAGTAAAGACCACACCTTTGAGTTGATATGTAAAAAAAATCATTTGCAACGCCGAAATATTCCAGTGAATGACGCACGGAATACTAAAAGTACGCCGCGAACGGTACAATGCCCAGTTTATGGGTTTGCATCGACGACAGGAACAATATTTTCAAGCGACTGCCAAATGCAGGATCTCAACTCGACGACATTTTTTGTATGTTACGCGATATCTCCGTCAAAACTGGACGAATTTCGATGGTCTTTTCCAACCGATATCATTACAGTAACACAATTCCTTTGAGTTAAGGCGATACCGCCGCCTGTGCAACTTTCAACAGCAGCCACCTAGCTGAGCAACGGGATTGCTGTTTTATTTTTAATAATATTATATATCAAATACATTTGAGAGTTCTTTTTTTTATTAAAACTTGTAATTATATATACCTAAAACTCACATTTTAATATTCAGAATATAGTTTACTTAATAAGTAACTAGAATATATCAATGAAGCAGTAACTTGGTTAAACATTTGAATGCCTACTAATGAATGGAATTAATGGGTATTGCTGTCTGTAATGCAAATAAATGGCTTACTTAGTTTACATATAATATCTGTCGTGCTCAGGATACAGAATTACATATACTGTCATTTTGTTAAAAATACAGTCCACTAGAGAAATCACCCACTAGTTGATAGTAGAAATCGGCCAACCTTTCCTGGAACTACTCTTTAATTTTTCGTCCCATAAACTCCAATATGACGATAAGCCTGTAAAATGGCACGGCAAGAATATATTTTCTACTAATAATATAGGTCCATATTTCATGTCACTCTGATATATGGTCCAGAATCACTCCACAAAGGTCATGGAGAGGCGAGGGCCGCATCGAATAAGCCGATCCTAAGCAAGGAAAAGTCAAGGGTAACCACACACATGATCCTAGGAATAATGAATTTGTAATACACTCTCAGTGTATTGGAACTTTGTTTACGAAAGGGATTGATGGAAACTGAAAAGGATTTATCATTAAACTGAATAATATTTCTTATCAGACCAAAGAAAGCAGAGTAAAGACTTTCAGAAGTCTATATTT